AAATGAAATGTATAATACTAACAGTGTCTCTTCGAACAAAAATATGAATAGTTAGGGTCTGTTTGCAACTGCTTTTAAAAAAGCACTTTTCAGCTTTTGGCTTTAAAAAGCACTTATTTTTCCAAACACTACAACTTTTATTTTTCTCGGCTTCCGCGTCAAAAGTACTTTTACTTTTTGGGATAAGGGTCAGATAGGGCCTCGAAGTTGAAAAAAAAATGTCAAATAAGGCCATATTTATGATGCTCTGTCCGGCCGACGCCATTTGGGGTGGTTCCTGGTGGAATTTTTTGATGAATTTTTTTGAGAATCTTATTCATTAAGTCTAGTTTACTCATATTAAACTTGAACTAACAATTCAATCGGGAAGGCATTCAAATGAATTCATGAAGATAATTGCGCTTTTAACGGCACAGTTATCTTCAAGAATTCATTTGAATGCCTTCCCGATTAAAGTTTTAGTTCAAATTTGATATGAGTAAACTAGACTTAATGCATAAGATTCTAAAAAAAATCATCAAAAAATTCCACCGGGAACCACCCCAAATGGCGTCGTCCGGACAGAGCATCCTAAATATGGCCTTATTTGACATTTTTTTTCAAGTTCGAGGCCCTATCTGACCCTTATCCCTTACTTTTTCTATTACACAAAAAGCACTTATTTTACCAAACACTACCCACTTTTACTTTTCAAAATCACTTTTTTCTCAAACACTATCAACTTTTATTTAATCACTTCTTCCCATTTCATTAAAAAAAAAGCACTTTTTTAAAAGCAGAATCTGTTGCAAACAGACCCTTATTGTGTACATGTAACTGAACAAGAATCATTATAGTGTATTTCAGAGTGACAAATCTCTGGTAGATGACGAGTCATGGAATATGTCATTTTTTGGAAAATTTTAAAATAAGTCATACTTTTATCTTTTGAATTTAAATTAGTACTACGTAATATTCATGGAGAAAGGCCTTACTAATACTTTCTCCGTTGTAAGTAGAGCAGAAAGTAACGAGTCTCTCTCTAGAGTTTCTACCGCTAGAGCTCTTCGTCCGCTATCGAACTCGTCGAGGAGCGGTGCCGCTAACAGAGCTTCTCTCTCTAGGTTTAGAGGTTGCTTTTCTCCGCTTTCGTCTTCAACGAAGAGCGGTTTTCTTGTGTGGTTTTGGTCCGCCTTTTGTGAGATCCTCTTCTTTGGCAGACCGCAACTCCTACATGGCAGCCAAAAGTTGTGTATTCCTAACAGCAGGTGGAGAGTTTTGAGGATGTCGTTCATGGTTGAGATCCAAAGGTCATGGACGAAGCGTGGGGCTAGGGGCCGGAACAGATCTAGACTGGAGGCAAGGAGCGGAAGAAGCTACAGTACTGTTGGACCGTCCCTTTCCGGAACCGCCGCCATGGAGTGCAAGAGAGTTTAGGGTTTGGTAGCAATTTTTTAATTTTACTGTTTGCTTTTTTGTTTTTTCATGATCAATCTGTTTATTTTTATCCTGGTTACTTTTATTGTTGTAAGACTATCGCATTAGGATTGGGTGATGGGAGGTCTGTTTTACCGTCGTTGGCTCATTTATGCTCATTATAGGATCAACGAGTTATATTGCTTTTTTGGAGATGATGGACTCTAAGTCTGGTTCGAGGGCTGATGGTTGCATGTGGTCCTTTTGTCGTTTTACTCCCTATCTGAATGTTGTGATAGTAATTTAAGCCATCCGTTTTGACGATAAAAAAAATACTTTCCGTTGTCTAATAATTGTCTCCTATTCTTTTTTGGAATGTTTTTAATTGTTTCTCCCTTTCCCTTTTAGTAAGTTTTTCAATCAAAATACATTTATGCTGGTTACTTTTATTGTTGTAAGACTCTCGCATTAGGATTGGGTGATGGGAGGTCTGCTTTTCCGTCATTGGCTCATTTATGCTCATTATAGGATCAGCGAGTTATATTGCTTTTTGGAGATGATTGACTCTAAGTCTGGTTCGAGGGCTGATGGTTGTCTGTGGTCCTTTTGTCGTTTTACTCCCTATCTGAATGTTGTGATAGTAATTTAAGCCATCCGTTTTGACGATCGAAAAAAAAAATACTCTCTGTTGTCTAATAATTGTCTCCTATTCTTTTTTGGAATGTTTTTAATTGTTTCTCCCTTTCCCTTTTAGTAAGTTTTTCAATCAAAATACATTTATGCTGGTTACTTCTATTGTTGTAAGACTCTCGCATTCGGAATGGGTGATGGGAGGTCTGCTTTACCGTCATTGGCTCATTTATGCTCATTATAGGATTAACGAGTTATATTGCTTTTTTGGAGATGATTGACTCTAAGTCTGGTTCGAGAGCTGATGATTGTCTGTGGTCCTTTTGTCGTTTAACTCCCTATCTCAATGCTGTGATAGTAATTTAAGCCATCCGTTTTGACGATCAGAAAAAAATACTCTCTCCGTTGTCTAATAATCGTCTCCTATTCTTTTTTGGAATGTTTTTAATTGTTTCTCCCTTTCCCTTTTAGTAAGTTTTTCAATCAAAATAAATTTATATGGCCACTTTTATTACTCTTACCCTTTTTTACTTTTTTACATACATATTCTTAACATATTTTTACATACTTTTTCATTTATCCCCGACACTCTCTATGATATCCCTACTATTTTCTTCTTAAAACCCACAAAAAAATCTAAAGAGACTATTAATTAAGAACAGAGGGAGTAAATAATAAACTTCCTTGTACTTTAAACGCCTCATCTAATTTAATTTCAGATTGCATAATATTATCTTTTTTTAACAAATCAAAATGCAACTATTACTCCCTCCGTCCAATTTAAAGGTTCTCGAGCACTATTCTCCTGTCAACGTGAATTGTTCTTAATCTTATACTTTATATATTCAACTTTTATCAAATTTAATTTTTCTTGATCAGGTATTATAAAACTTTTAACGTAGTTTCTGATCGAATATGTAAATTTTATTTACTAAAAATAATCTTATTAATGACAGTGATCAGTTAACTTTATGGTCAATCAAAAATCGTAAAACGCGTGAGAACCTATAAGTGGAACGGAGAGAATATTAAATTATTATAATTTTACTTGATGACTACCGTTAATTTGTATGCTAAAAAGAATTCTTTTTCATACACACTATTCTTTTTTGGGATGAAAGATAACTATGTATTAAAAATCATCCACAACTAACACAATAAAGGCATAGAGCAGGGAGAGAGAGAAAGCTTTGAAAATAAGAAAAAAAACAAATCTCAAAAATCCAAACTAGCATGGGACAGACCCCGATAGAGTAACAAGCTAAAACTAGGCTCAATTCAAAGCCATCTAATTAAAGGCATCCAGCAGTGAAGGCCCAATTTCACGCAGATCCGGAGCCCAAGAACCCACTCCCTACATCAAAAGAACAATCCAGAACAAACAGATTCCATGCATAAAAAATGGGGCGATATGAATAAGAAAAATGTACTCCACTTTGCCTTGCTTTTTTAACAATTTATTCTTTTATTTAATTCTATGCCTTACTAAATCTCCTATATCATTTAGTATTTTTAGTATTTTGGAAGACAAATAGGGTAAAAAATATACTTGTTTTCTTTTTATCATATTTACTGCATCAAAAGAACAATCCAGAACAAAACAGACTAGGCTCAAATTCAAAAGACCTGTAGCCAAGCCCGTAACATACCCATCAGTGAACCGCATTAGATAATTTGCGGCCCAACAAGGAAATATCCCTTAGGGTTGCAAGCACAAAATAGACTACGTTGGAAGACAAAAGACCCTTCGCGCAGCCATATCATGCTCAACGATGGCAAAGAAACTACAGACCATCAAAGCAAAAGCCCTTAGGCTCAAAGCCAAAAGACCCATCGCCTGACCTGTATCATGCCCACTCGCATCAGAGAAACCGCAACCCATTATAGCAAAAACCCTTACGATTCTCTAGGTCCAAATTCATAACAAGTCGCCTCCTACGGTTAGCAGCAAGCGCCGGGTCAGCCCAACCTACAGGCCCAGCATCGCTTCAGCACAAGTGCCACACTTTGGAGCGGGAAGTCCATATAAGCTGCAATATCCGCCATAGGTATGCGAGCAGGCGGTCAACAACGTCAGTCACCCCGGTCCCCCGGCGAGAATCCGTCCATTCAACGTACAATAGCTTAATAACACCAATCATACACTATACTTCGTATATTGTAACATAGTCTTCTAACATATTTATTCACTAAATTTTGTGGACACTTATACAAAAAATTATCTAACCTCTTGAGGAAATGAGAAAATCATCAAAAAGTTGTATCAAACATCATGAATAGTTTTACAGATTTAAAATTATGTGATTGAAATTTGTTTAGTGAAGAAAGGTATAATTGTAATCATATACTTTTGACTTTATACGAAAATGATAAAGTTCTTTGAGACAGTTAAATAAGGAAATTTCATAAAATTTTATGAGTCAGAAAAAGCATAACTTGAGACAAAATGACTTATTTAATTCTTTTTTAATTTCTCCTTCACACACGATCCAACTAATCTTTTGTTGATGGGCCAATTTTGCTTTTATGTTAAAAAAACATATCCAATTGAACTACATTTAAACAAACCTTCAAATAAACTTTAGCAATCATTCATGTTGTGTATTTTCACTCAGTTACTAATTAAATTAGAAATGAACCATTTAACTTCTAAAATAATACATAAAATTATACATTCATAATGATGATCCGATTAAAACCAAGTGTACTTCAATTTATTATTATTTTTCTTTTCAATTTACTATTATTTTTCATTAAATGGAATAAATAAAATACTAGGTGCAAACAATACTAAAATATTTTAAAATGTAAAATCTGATAGTGTAAATATATACAAGAAATGTATGTTGGCAACAATAAGATATTAATTGTACTTCCATAGAGTTATAGCATCACTTTATTCCACCACCACAACATTATTATTTCATAAGATGAAAAAAAGGATAAAAAGAAAAGATAAAAATACAATAATTTTCTATTACTCCAATAACACATAATGATGGGACTGATTATAGCGATGTGGCAATACAAACTATACTATAGCTTCTAAAAGTTAACAAAAATTACATTTAGTGTATCGACAAAATTCTCAATGAGTGAGCGGGAGGAACCATAAGCTACATATAAAGTTTAAACACATAGTATTTTTTGCATTAATTATAACATGATTCTAATAACGCTGACGTCTCAACGAAAATGAACGAGAAGAACCCATACTTGCACTTCTTAAGAGCTTTCTGAATTCAAACAAACTTATCTTCCCATCTTTATCAATGTCTGCTTCTTCGAGAAGTGGGTTTATGGAGCCCTTTAAGCCCGTGTGCTGCAAATAAAATATATGTGAGGATTGATTGAACATTTATTAAGTGGTCAATTCATTCATATTTAGCCAATGTAGCATGATCTTTTTACTTCTCAAGATGTGACGATGTTGAACACTTATTATGGATTTGATCTGATTAAGGATGTTTTTAATTAGACTCAAATTTTCAGGCCTAGTCTGGTCTAATCTATTCTGGACTGATTTGGTCTAGTTTCGTAGATGTATGGTCTCTGTGTATTTTATAATTGTTCATGTCGGTCTGGTCTGATATGAGACTGTAAATAATCCAAGTAAAAACATCATAATGCACATTTAGTTCATATAAGACTTTCTAGATGTGAAGATGATAGAATTGTTAAACAATTATTAAAGGGTTGGTTCCTTCATATATACCCGGTATAGGACAATCTTCAACAAGTCCCATTGTAGTTATTTTTGCATCTCCACCAACATTTTGTCATATTTTAACTGTATTCTTTACATTTCTTCATGACTTGACATACAGAGTGAAGAGGCAAAAAGGGCATATCTAGAGGGGCAGAGCGTCTCTCACCCCCAACCATCAATGTACACAAACATATATTCTCACGTCAATTAGCATTAATATGTGTGTTCTTGGTGCATAAAGACTGTTTGCTTGTTCCTTTCCTTTATGAGTTCGCTTTTGTTTCCTATACATCCATTCATCCATAAGCAAGCTTTTGTGTTAGTAATTTAAGTTTTTTCTAATCAAGTACTTTGAGATTCAATTTTACTATTATTTGAAAGATGAATCATTAATGATTTCTTATTCAATTGTTATTGTATTGCTCAAAACTATGACATAGTAGTAATAACATGTGTGTGGGTTAGCATTATCGTAAGACATAGTTGTTGAATAGAAAACATTACATCCACCACTCTTTTTAAGTAATCTAGTTTTATTTATGACATTTTTATTTATGACATTATATATTTATTGTGTTTGAAATAGGCTTAATGCCACATTATCCTAGATACGCTGTGAAGTAACAGACTAATGTGGCATGATGGTAGTGCCAAAAAATCTCAACATAATCATGAATCACCTCAGGAGAATAAAAAGTGTACCATTTGAAGTTCTTGTGGAGTGATATAACCATCTTTGTCTGCGTCGAATTTCTCAAAAGCAAATTGTGATCTTTGGTTCCATTTTTCTGAATTATGTACCTCCATCTGATTCACATGTAAAGTGGCAGCAACAAACTCTTCAAAATCTACAAACCCATCTGTGTTGCTATCTATCTGTGAAGCAGCCAAATGGAAACTACGGATGGAAGGTTGAAATTTATTAAGCACACATTACTAATGAAAATAGTCATGATCATACATACCGCTTGAAGAATCTCCACAACATGTGAGTCCTTCATTTTCCATGGAATATCTTTAGCAAGTGCCTGCAACACCAAAATCATACACACATATTCAACGGATCCAAGTATTTAAATATGTATCCTTTTATGATTATGATAGAGAAAAAAATACAATCTCTCCCTCCTTTTCATTTCACCTTTTTTATTCAACACATTTAACAAAAAAGTGAAAATAGTATTGTTAAGATTTGTTTAGAGGAGAGAAAAACAGTATCAGCCCCACAACCCTTTCCTTAGAAGGAAAATAAAATAAGATTTGGAAGGATGAAAAAATAAAATGAAAATAAGAAGGATCACCGTTGATGTGTATTTTACCTGTCTCATTTCATCCAGTGTAATGACACCATTCTTATCCACATCAATAGCCTCGAATTGATCTCTAAGAACAATCAGCTCATCTTGATCAAGTGTGGTAGCTAATGCCTAGAAATATAACAATTATAGAATAAATATCATACCGTAATAGTAAAAAATTAATTCAGCATGTTTACTTTGCATAAATACAAACTTACCCTTAAAGCAAATTGTTTTAGTCGGTTGTACTTAACAAATTGGCGCATATTAGATAGAACAGATATGTCAAGCGGGATGTCCAATGCACTCCCTCCTTCTCGTACCCACAGATGTGCTATAATTACCGATAAGCCCATCATCAGGGAAGATTACCACATCGAGTATTAAAGAGATACATTTGAGTTTTAAAGCATATTGTTAGTCTAATTAATTGATTAATCTTATATTTTAGCGTGGTTTGACTAATGTGCATTGTATCAAATTAAATATCAATGATTCAATTATGAGTTCTAGCAGATAAATATTGAAATAAAACACTAACCACAAAAATATACTAGTATAATAGTTTGGAGTAATTTCATACATAGTGCTTGAGCAGCGGTGAGTCTAACATGAGGGTCCTTCACTAGTAATTTCATGACAAAGTCCTTAGCACCGTCACTTATGCTTGGCCATGGTTTGCGCCGAAAGTCAGGCTGGTTTCTTAGCACCTATTGCAAGCCTACATGCATTAGAATTAGAATACAGAAAATTTACACAATTGATTCAAGTACTATTAGATAATTCTCACCTTTGGATCATGATTTATTTTTTACTTTGGTGCATGAATATAGATTTTTACTATATTTGATTCATTGTGATCACTTATCTATAATCATGCATAAAAAAGCATAGATCAAGAGTTGGGATGCCCATAATATAGTTTTGAGACCAAAAGTTCGACACGTTTCTCTATTAAAGTCAAAGTGTAAATAACTAACCGTTAGTTGGGTAGTATTAAGGATTAAGAGTTGACCCGAACAAAAGAAATTGTACCTCCTTGAAGATTCCATCTTCAGTTTTGTTCCAAAAAGGTCGCCGGCCACAAAGCAAAATGTAAGTTATTACACCAATGCTCCAAACATCCGACTCGGGGCCTGATTTACGCTTCAAGACCTCTGGCGCAACATAATATGCACTGCCCACAATATCTTGAAATTTCTTTCCTACATTATTGCCCCCCCCCCCCCCCCCCCCCCCATGTGAATGCACAAATACATTTAAGAAACAATCCCTAGAACTTATTGAAACTTTTCAAAACACAAGTTAAAGTTTATTTTCAGAAAATTATTTTACCTTTAATTTGTCTTTCAATTTGTGCACTGAACATTATACACTCTTTTTCCCGTAATAAAACTCATAGTAGGTTAGACCGGTTGATTAATAAAAGAAAGTGAAATAGAGAGAAGAGATTTAGCATATTACTCCTTCAACCCCCAAAATAAAAGTTACACAGTTTTTTTAGCATATACAAGTAGATTAAGAAGGTGAGATAAAAAAAAATAAACGGTTCTCTCATGTTCTGTACCACCGCAAAAATGAGAAAGGATAACTTGTATATTTAAGTAAAAAGAAGTGTCGTGTATCTTGAACTCTTTGCCCAAAAAAGAAACATAACTTTTATTTTGGAACATCCCAAAAGGGTAAGACGCAAGTTTTGTTTTGGGAGGAGGGTATTCAATTGACAATTGATCAGTTAAATAGGCAAAAACTAAAGATGTAGAAGTTAATGCTATGCCGAGAGAAACTGAAAAATCTAATATTTTTAATCCAAAAATCATTTTGAGACTGCCATTTTAGAAATAAGTGAAACTTTCATGAGGCGGAGGTAGTATTATGCACAGAACCTGTTTTCCAACGGAAAGATTTTAAGAACTTTTTTATTGTATCAAATGGAGTCAAGAATGATAAAATATTATGGAGTACATGAACTCAACATATATATAATCACCTGGCCTTATGAAGTCCGAAAGACCGAAATCAGTAGCCTTCAATGGAGAATCCGGTTTTGGTGATTTGAAAAGAAAATTCTCAGGTTTCATATCTCGATGCACCATACCATGTAAATGACACTTGGCTGCAACCTTTAGCATCTGCCTCACAACTATTGCAGCGTCTTTTTCACAATACCGGCTATCTTTCCTGAATATATATACCAATATTCAGGAAAGGTGCATTAGTAAGTCGTCTACAACTTATTATGTTTCACTAAAAAGTGCATGCTTAAAATTGAAAATACATACCGAGCTAAAATACGGTCCAATAGTTCTCCACCTTCACATAACCTAAAAGATCCGTTTTTCAGAATAATCTTCAAAATTTCTCATCTTATCATCAACAAAAAAGGGAACTTGTTCAGGTAAAGACAATGACTAAAGATGGGTTACTTACTCCATAACGATATACACATAATCCGCATCCTCAAAAGCATTATGAAAATGAACAACATTTTCATGACCAGTCAAAGCCTTTAATATTTTAACTTCACGCTTGACATCTTCAACTGCAATTGGAAGAAGCATCTGCCATAAATCGGTAACTTGTTATGATAGTAGTTGAAACCAGAAACTTCAAACGTTAGTTCTAAGTGCACATTAATGTATATGCAAAAAGATATCATCCGGAAATCTTTATAGTTTCAGAATCCATTTTGGACGGTTAAACTGAGAAGAAGAGTAAAGTAGTACCCCAAACTAGATTTGAGATTCCATCTTAAAATATTGGGAGATTCCCCAAAATAGGACTAAATAGAGTTTAAAATTCCAAAATAGGCATTCAACATGAAAATATTTATTATAATTCATGACAGTATTTTTCGGTCATGGCAGTAATTTTCAATCATGACAGTAACGACTCCTATTTTGAGAAGAAAAACATAATAGTCCTATTTTGGAATTCCCAAAGTTGTTTACTCTTATTTAGGGAAATTTCCCTAAAATATTGGCAATCTAAAAGTAAGAGTATGCTAACATATTATATTTTAGTTTGTACTTCATCCGTCACAACTTGAGCTTCTAATTTGTCTCTTTTGGATGACTTAGCTAAAAGTTCACAATTATTTTTTTTGAAATAATTAGCACTCTTAAATGATAATATAACCATCAAATATTTAAAAAATTACATCTGTAATATCATAGTTATATCAATGGCCTCATTATACCCATCAAAACTATTTTTCAAAATATATTTGAATAACCTTATTTAATTATTATCTAAATAATTGTGTCATTTTTCATTGAGAAGCTTAAGTCGGGACAGAGATAGTTTTTTTTGTATTTAGCGAATGCGGTACAACATGCAATAATTTCCCTCAAAACAACAAAATCATACCAACAAAGGTAACCAATAATCTAATATCTAAAATTTGACAAGCATGAAAATTGATTCGAATCAAATATAGACAATGAAACTTTGATCATCCAAAATAATCCACACAACATAGAAACAAATCCCAATTTTAGAAATAATATGGTGGGATATTAAAGACATCAAAGAGATTAATACCTTGTTCTTTTCAATTTTCTTAACAGCAACACGATCTCCCGTTGACTTGTCTATGGCAACATATGTATAGCCGAATTGACCATGTCCTAACAACTTTCCAAGGGTATACCTCTTATGGAAATTCTTATCATACCCAAAATTTGTTCTTTTACCACAAGGGATAATCCCACTTTGTCTCCGAGAACTTTTCCTAGAAGTCGAATTTATGAGTGGTTGTTGATGTGTGTACCCTTTATTGCTTGACTTATGTTGAAATTGAAAAATATGTGACACGTATTGTTTCCTCGATGTGGCTCTAGTTGTGGACGGTGACCTTGAAGTTTTCTTTCGGATGTTCACGGCGGCATTGGGGTGGGTATTATAGTTATTGGAGCCACTAACTTGTTTGCTTGAAAAGCAGATGCCCATATCCCCAATTATGCATAACATACAGAAATTTTCTTTATTTCGTTTGAGGGATTAGAAGATTCAGACCTGTTGAATAATTCCGAAAAGTATAAGGTCATATGCAGAGATTTTCTTTATTTCAAACAATATCGGCAATAAAGTGCATATCCACATCTACACCAACACAAGAAATTTGAATCCATTTTAAATGAAATTAGAGGAATGGAAGCATGTGGTGGGTGGGGGTGAGAAGACATTTGGAAGATGATAATACACGGCAATTTGGATTGAGGCTTGATTCTTGAAGAGAGAGAGAGAGAGAAATTACCATCCATTTCGTTAGTTTCTTTTTCCATACCCGTGGGGTTTCAATTCCAAGATCCTCGTAATACTGTGTGGTTAAGTTTGATCTTAACTATGTACATTTTTCATTATCATACAATCTCGAGATCGGAGTATTCTTTCAATCTTTGAAAGATAAAATTAGATCAAATAATTTTGTTTACTTCAATTTAATATTTGATTTTAATCCAATGTCGATTAGATTGGACCGAACTTGCCCCTATTGCATAACATAATTGTGTGTTTATTTCATTTTCCTAATGATGGAACTAATTGTCCCGATTGAGTAAATAAAGAAATTAGAGCTGACAGAGTATTTTATCGTGGAAACCAAATCGGTGAAAACCACGGGCCTTTTTGGGCGGTACCATGCCAACGGGAGCCGAGAGCTTTTATTATAGTTGTGTGGGGGGGTTACATGTACAAAGCATATATATGGAGCTTCTAGGGAAGCCATTAATCGAGACATGAGCTAGGAAGAAATACATGCGTGTGTGTAAGAGGAGAGGGGGGGGTGTTGTCTAGTAGGAAATGGGATAGTCGCTAGGAAATTGTCCTCCCCTTCTTCCTCCAATAGCTAGTCCTTAAGTAGATGAATATTCAAGTGGGTACCATATGGGAAGTTTCCTCCTCTCATACATATGTCAAACTCAAATAAGTAAAGGTATGGTGTAAGACTGAGTGTGTTTCCTCTCAATTGTGTGAATCTGTTAATATATTCTGCTTATCCGATTCCCGATAAGATCTTATATACGGACTGCGATGGGTCTAGAGGAATATTCTCCATCACCTAATATTTTTTAATTTGTATTTTCTAGTTGTCCATGATTTTATATTATATTGATGTATTCTATAGTTTTACATCTCGAATTTATTATTTGTATTCACTTTTTTAGTCAAGGATAAACACAGTAACCAAAATATTCTTCCAATATCACACATATAGTGCAATGAATATGTGTTGTGATTCGCGCGCGGCGCTATAATTATGATCACTAGTTGTAACATTCATAATATTGTTTTTATTAACGGTGTCTGTGGTGATTATTGTTGGATGCAATTATTGATAATGGCCCGCTATAAAATCATGATTAATATTGATGACGTTAATGTGATGGTGATCCATGGTTGGGGTGGTTAGAGATGATCAACAATGGAATTGAGCGATGACGGTATATAGTGGCACAAGTTGTTATTAACAATGGACGTTGATGCAGTGAAAATGGTTGACAATGTTCAATAGTTGTCCCTCATGGTGGTTGGTTGTGACTTTAATATATTAGCCTAAATGGTAGGGTCTTGGTTGACAATAGTGACAAATGACAATAGATTATGTGGTTTTCGATAGTAAAAACCATTGATGGAAATGATGGGAGTGGCTATAAGCATGGTGTTGATCACTGGCATCAATAATGATATTCGTTAGCATTGTCATTTTGTTGGTAACGATTATCACGGATATCAAGTTATTAGTAACATAAACAACGTTGTTCGCCTGTAGTGTTGGATATAATGTTGATTTTGTCAAGAACCATAAGCTGAGGACATTTATGGTGGGGATGATGAGAGGTGACTTATAGTTATAGTAGTCAACATTGGTGGACTGTGTGATGGTGTGGAATAATGGTTTTAGATTTGAAAAAATTGTTGTGAAAAGTCCGGAAATTGAAGTAAGCAATAAAAAATTCCAATGAGTCTTATTGTTTCTTTTAAATATGAGAATATTATTGTCATGCGGAAAGTTTATTGTAATATTTTGATACCACTAGAATTTAAATATGGTAATATATTGCCATATATATGGAATATTACACTATTCCCTAAAACATATTGCTCCTACTTTTGAATTCTAAAATGATTTTACTCCTATTTGGATCATATCAATTTTCTTAATATTGTTATATACCTTATGTTAGAATTTAGAATGTAGAATAAAGTTAACTTCTTATGTTTTTCTTAGGGGAAAATAAATAATATATCCCGAACTTTGTCTTGGTGTGAGCTCCCCACCCCCAACTTGTCATAGTTTAAAAAATACCCTCAACTTTATTTATTTAATATTTTTGTACCATATTTTAATAAACAAATAATATTTCTCAAATTGTAATATTTTTATTAGATTTAGTTGGCAAAAAAAGATGTGTGATTCCCAAATTAATGTGTGCTTTTCAAATTGAATTCCCAAAATCTCTAATTTAAGTACAAAAGATATGTTAATTAATCTTTTTTGACCACTAAATCTAATTAACATATTATAATTTGAGAAATATTAATTGTTAATTAAAATATGGTACAAAAATTTAAATAAATAAAGTTGGGGGTATTTTTTAAATTAGGACAAGTTCGGGGTGGGGAGCTCACACTAGGGCAAAGTTCGGGATATATTATTTATTTTACCCTTTTTCTTAAGATCACAAAACTCTTCCTGAGTAAATTATTACTCCTAAAGTCCTAATAGCTCGTGTAATTTCTTGTGTAACCATACATTTTTTTAAACATTCTTGTATAACATACATCTATTAGATGATGGAAACAAATACTACATATATAACTTTCTAATCTCTTATAAACACATAACACACAAGAATGGACATACTTTTAAACATTCTTTGTATAAAATGCTTAATATGATGGACGAACTTAGATGTCAGCCAACAGTTCATTAAAGCTTTAAAATTCTTTCAAGCTAATATGACAAAATATATCTAAAAATTCTGATGGATCTACGAACAATTGAAGAAGAACAAGAAGAAGAAGAAGAAGAGCAGCACAGCTTACCTTTAATACGGAGAAGTTGAATGAGAAGGCGTCGATAAGGGATCTGGAAGGAGCGGAGCAGATGAAACTAGGAGGCCGATCCAGAAGTGGTAGGAGGCCGATCCAGAAGTGGTAGAAGACTACTGTGCAACGCAGGTGTTTACGATATAGAGAAGGGGCAAAGGGTTATTTTACCTTTTCAATGGTAAATTAATTACTTTCAGCCAGAAAAGTTAGGGTATTGCTACTTTTTTTGCTGATCAGCCCAAACAACCCTATAAGCTAGTGTTTGGCTCTCTTTTTCTATTGTAAGGCTTGCCCATTATATAGGCTCCAAACGGACCAATAATGCTGCAAAAAAATATACGCATATTTTTATTGTTATTTCTTCCACACTAATAGTCTAACACTGCAAATATATACATATATACAATAATCCCCATAGCTACAAATTCTTCATTTTGGTTTTGCACTTAAACTTCCGTAATTTAAATCTTACTTTATGCATACTCCCTCCGTCCCTGATTGTTCTTCCAAATTAAAGTGGCACGGTGATTAAGAAAGTGAGAATTGTGTGGTGGAGAGTTGTGCAGAGGAGAGAGAAATGCTGTGAACCACAAATTCTTTGCCAAAAAGGGAAAGTGAAGTTCTTTTTGGGACGGACGAAAGTGAAAGTTGGAAGTAAATTTAGGGACAGAGGGAGTACTATTCTTACTTTAATTACTTGCCTAAACCACTGATAAACATTCATAACACACAGCAGACAATCAAACATCAAACTTATCATTCAATCTAGTTTGGATGTTAAATTGCAAACGAGAGAACTACAGAAGGTACCTAATATGGCAATATCCTAAACGTTATACGAGATCAGGCTCAATACTAATTTTATAAAGCCAGTGTTTTTCCATAGTTCCACGGATTTAGTCTTTGGAAAATTAATACTTCATCCATCCCATTAAAGTAGCTAGTTTGTAGTTATGCTTATTTCTCACAATCCTTAATCACACGTCTTTTACTTTTCTTATTTCTCGCTTTATTCTAAATTCGCAAAATTTACCGGGACAGAAATAATGCATAGTACAGAGTACGGACATAACTCTATTTAGACTAGAAAAAGATCTGAAATTGAAGGTTTTTGTCTAAATTAGAGACATTAATTTCTGAAATTAGATAAAAACATCGCTCAGGCTGAAATATCAATCAGCTAAGTATTAAGTATACTAGTGAAAAATGTTGGAAATATGATGAAATAAATAATGGTATAATATATATGAATTGGAAGTAGCTTAATATACATTAAAGAACAACTTACATGTGTGGATCTATTTCATTTAATGACTAGAATCCATAGTTGTAAAGGTTGTAAATGTAATGTATTAGTTTGGTGAATTTATTGTCCAATGTTTAAAATAAATGGTACTTTTATATGATAAGGAATAATATTTAAGTATCATGTAATCATAAAAGCCATTTAAATCTTGGGACAAAAATTCTGAAATGTAATATATAAAATGAAGCCTGCGGACAATATAATTGCTTAAGTGATATTGCTCACTAAGTGTTGATAGGTACGTGCACTTTGAATTTAAAATTCAAAATTTAAAAGGTGCTTGGTCACACTTAGTTTATTTGATCCGGTCATCAAGGATCATGGGAGCACTATTATAGGAGTAGTTAGACTTCTGACCAATTAATTTCGGTATATGAATACCTATCTGATTTCCGAAGCAAAAAATAATCCGCTGCATGCTCTCTTTATTTTCACACGTTCACAAGCATTCGGCTCCAACTAGTACTTCACGAACAAAACAAACCAAAAGTCCTCTTGAGTGCTTTGTGATAAAGGACATACATACACCTCCTATTTGATACTCCAGTGACTATTCTTTTTGGGTTACTTGGTCAAGAGCTTTCACTTTCGATTTTGAATCCATAGTTCATCATTTTCTTTTCGGCTCATCTCTTTAAATCGGCAATTGGGCAACGGTCGAGGTGTTTCTGTCAAGCAAGATAAAGGACCGGAACAGAGGTAGGATTATCCTGGGAGCGAGTTGGCCAGTCCCGTTCGAGTAGCTATCGAGATACGGGGGCTATCTTTCTTCAAGGCCAGTCCGGTTAACGGACGATCTTACGCTAAGTCTTCTTTTCTCTACTTTTTATTTTAATATTTAATTTCTAATTATTGTTTCTATTTTATTTGTTCTTGCATTTGGTGGTTTGTCTGGTGATTTGTGATTAAACTCGGGATTTTATCTGACTAAACTCGCCATTTAAATACTATTTTTCTAACAATCTTGAAGAAAGATATTATTTCTCGAGTTTTGAAAATCCAATATGACGAACTTGGAAAATGCTGCTACTTCTGAAAACGTTGTTGTTGAGAATAATGTGAATGAAATCCCTGAAAATAATGTTAATTCTGTGTCTGTGACTAATTCTGGAGACACACCTGAATTTGTTGCCACGGGCTCTCACAGGGTTGATTTGACCGGAATGCCTGAAAAATTTTCTGGGCATTTTTTCAAGCGTTGGGAACAACGCATGAAAATCCGGTTAATCACCAAGGGTTTGCTCTCGGTAATTATGACAGTGTGTCCCCCCGTTGTCGAGTCTGATCCCAAGAGTCTTGAACGCCAAACTTTATGGCGTGAGAGGAATGAAATAGCCAAAGGAATGATATTGTTGGGACTCTCCGACATGTTATTTGATGTCTATTGCACCCTCCACGGCACGGCTAAAGACCTTTGGGATGAGTTGGATAGGAAATATAATACTGATGACCACGGTCTGGAAAAGTATATTGTTTCCAAATTCTTGAGATTCGACATGAAAGAGGGAAAATCTGTTTTAGAACAAACACAAGAATTTGAGGTTATCTTACATTCTCTCCGTGAAGCAGATATGGAATTGCCTGAAAAATTTAAAGTCATGACTGTAATTGAAAAATTCCCCAAATCGTGGGAAGATTTTGGTTTGACTTTAAAACACAAAATGAAAAAGATAACTTGGAAAAGTTTGATGCATTCCATTACTGTTGAGGAAGAACATAAGAAAGCGGGTTATATTGTGCCTGTTGAATTTCAGCCAAAGGCTCATGTTGTAACCGGGGGAAAGCAGTCACAAAATTCTAAAAATAAACAACCATCATCTTTTAAACCAATAAAGGCCAAATTAAAAATTGCAAAGAAACCAAAGGCAAACCGGCCATGCTGGAACTGTGGACAGATGGGGCATTGGGCCAAATTATGCCCAAATAAAAAGGCTAAGGCTCAATCTGGTGGACCTCAAGTCAACGTGGTGACTAGAGGAACTAGTTCCGATGGGTATGTTTCTATTAACCCTCAAGTTTTCACTATTTATAATTCCAATGAGTGGCTAATAGATACAGGAGCGAATGTGCATGTATGTGCTGATAAATCGCTCTTTGTTTCTTATCAGCCTGCGGTTGGAAGAACAGTGATGATGGGAAACACAAGTGCTGCTAGTGTGCACGGAGTTGGAAAAGTAGAAATAAAATTTCCTTCGGGAAAAATTCTTACTTTGCATGGAGTGCATCACGTTCCCGAAATTAGAAGGAACATTGTTAGTGGTTCCATTCTTGTTAGAGAGGGTTATGAATTATCTTTTAAATTCAATAAAGTTGTAATTTTATTTGGTGGAGTTTTTATTGGCAAGGGTTACTTGTCGGATGGACTTTTTAAGATTGTGGTTGATTATTTTGAATTAAATTATGTATCTGAGAATTGTGATTCTTCAACTTTATGGCATTATCGTTTGGGTCACGTTAATTTAGATTCTGTAAAAAGAATGATGAATTTAAATTTAATTCCTAAACACTCTATTGATAAAACTAAGAAATGTATGGTATGTGCTACTACAAAACAAGTAAGAAAACCATACCATTCAATTGATAGAAATTCTGAATTACTTGATTTAATTCATACTGACATTTTTGAGTTTAATGGAGTGTTGACTCGTGACAAGAAGAAATACTTTATCACTTTTATTGATGATTATTCTAAATACTGTTATGTGTATCTACTTAAGGGTAAAGATGAAGCTCTTGAAAAATTCTTAATTTTTAAGAATGAAATAGAGAATCAAACCGGCAAGATAATTAAAAGGTTAAGATCTGATAGGGGAGGAGAGTACACTTCTAATTTAGTTGTACTAGAATGCCAAAAATATGGTATAGTACATGAATGTAACACCCTGGCCCCGCAGGACCCGAGGTAGTTACTCCAGACCTCTAGTACTGTCCTCACAAACCGCCACTAGCCTTTTACACGCACTTTGTCCTCACTCGTGCGCGCCCTGAGAAACTTCCCAGGGGGTCACCCATCCCAAGACTACTCCCGTGCGAGCACGCTTAACTTTGGAGTTCTTGGGTAATGAGCTCCCTTAAAAGGAGATGCACCTCTGTTGGTATGAGTAGTACTATTAATCCATTTATATTAAATCTCAAGTGTTACAATCACCCCCACTTAGGATCGCAACGTCCTCGTTACGCCCTTAAACCAATCTTAAATCTCAATCAAATCCCAGAATCTACCCCCGCTAAGTGCCCGCCCGATATCCAACGGGTCAGCACACTGTCGCAGGGTTGCTCTGATACCACCTGTAACACCCCGGCCCCGCAGGACCCGAGGTAGTTACTCCAGACCTCTAGTACTGTCCTCACAAACCGTCACTAGCCTTTTACACGCACTTTGTCCTCACTCGTGCGCGCCCTGAGAAACTTCCCAGGGGGTCACCCATCCCAAGACTACTCCCGTGCGAGCACGCTTAACTTTAGAGTTCTTGGGTAATGAGCTCCCTTAAAAGGAGATGCACCTCTGTTGGTATGAGTAGTACTATTAATCCATTTATATTAAATCTCAAGTGTTACAATGAAGAAACACCTCCTTATTCACCACAATCAAATGGAGTAGCTGAACGGAAAAATAGAACCTTTAAAGATATGATTAACAGTTTATTAGAGAATTCTGGATTACCTAAGTTTATGTGGGGGGAAGCCTTGAATACGGCCTGCCATATTCTGAACAGGATTCCCATGAAACATAAAGATAAGTGTCCATTTGAACTCTTGATAGGCAGAAAACCAAGTTTAAAATATTTTAAAGTGTGGGGCTGTCTTGCAAAAGTATTAGTCCCTGAACACAAAAGAAAGAAACTTGGGCCTAAAACTGTTGATGCTATTTTTATTGGTTATGTTGAACATTCTTATGCATTGAGATTTTTGGTTATTAAATCTGAAATTTCTGGCATAGATGTTAATACTATTATAGAACTTCGTGATGCTACTTTCTTTGAAAATGTTTTCCCAATGAAAACGGGTGTTCCCCAAAATATTTCTTTAAAAAATCAAGAAACCACATTTAATTCAATTCCTGATCAAGTGGAAAAGATGACAAATGTGGGGGTAGAATCTAGTAGTACTAGTCTCGCTAGTTTTGAATCAAATGAACTAGATGAGCCTAGAAGGAGCAAACGGGCTAGGATCACTAAGGAATTTGGAAGTGATTTTATCACTTACAATATTGAGGGTGATCCAGTTTCCTTTAGAGATGCAATGGCTACTTCCGAAGCCATGCATTGGAAGGATGCCATTAAAAGTGAAATGGACTCCATTGTTCAAAATGGAACATGGGAGCTTGTTGATCTTCCTCCCGGGTGTACTACTATTGGATGTAAATGGATTTTTAAGAAGAAATTAAAACCAGATGGAACCATTGATAAATATAAGGCCAGATTAGTTGCTAAGGGTTACAAACAAAAAGAAGGTATTGATTTTTTCGATACATATGCTCCGGTTGCAAGAATGACCACAATTAGAATGCTTATAGCAATGGCCTCCGTATATGGTCTTAAAATTCATCAAATGGATGTTAAGACAGCCTTTCTTCATGGTGACCTTGAAGAAAAAATTTATATGGACCAGCCTGAAGGATTTGTGGCAAAAGGCAATGAGAGAAAAGTTTGTAAATTAGTTAAGTCTTTATATGGACTTAAGCAAGCCCCTAAGCAATGGAACGAAAAATTTGATAAAATAATTCTTTCGTTTGGATTTACCCTTATAGATGCTGATCAAAGTGTTTATTATAAATGTAAAGGTGATGTTAGTATTATTTTATGCCTATATGTTGATGATATATTATTATTTGGCACTAATGATAATATTATTTTTGAGACAAAGTCATTTTTAAAAACAAAGTTTGAAATGAAGGATATGGGTGTGGCTGAAGTAATTCTTGGCCTAAAGTTGACTAGATCAACCGAAGGAATTTCTATTTCTCAGTCGCATTATATTGAAAAATTAATTGAGAAATTTGGATTTAAAAATAGTAGAATTGCTAAAACACCCTATGATCCTTCAGTAGCTTTGTATAAAAATGAAAGTGGTGTTCCTGTGTCTCAATTAAGATATTCTCAGATGATTGGTAGCTTGGGTTACTTAGCTAACTGTACTAGACCTGATATTGCATTTTCAGTGTCTAAGTTGAGTCAGTACACTTGTTGTCCAAACAGAACTCATTGGGAGGCCTTAGATAGAGTATTTAGATACTTAAAAGGAACTATTTCCTTGTGTTTGCATTATGGTAAATATCCTCCTGTTCTTGAGGGATATAGTGATGCAAGCTGGATAGCTAAGAACTCCGGGAGTTATGGATGTACAGGCTATGTGTTTACGTTTGGTGGTGGGGCTGTTGCCTGGAAGTCCACTAAACAAACGATACTTTCTCGGTCTACTTTTGAGGCTGAATTGTGTGCATTGGATACTACTGGAATTACGGCTGAATGGTTTATGGGATTAATGTCTGAGTTACCAATATTTAGCAAGCCAATTCCACCTATTTGTTTGCATTGTGATAGTATGAGCACAATTGCAAAAATTAGGAGTACCAAGTATAATCAAAAGACTAGGAGACACATTCAAGTTAGATTAAAGACTATAAGGAAATTTGTGTCTCAAGGGGTGTTTGCTGTTGATTTTGTTGGATCCAAAGATAATACAGCGGACCCGTTAACAAAAGGACTTGATTTAAATCAAGTGATAAAATCCAGGTTAGGAATGGGACTAAAACCCAATAATTATTCAACTACGGTAGCAACCCAACCTATCTGAGTGGAGATCCCATAAAGTAGGTTCAATGTGGTATAAACAAACCGTAGTGTGAATTATGCATCTCACTAAAATATGTTATGAGTTCTATTCCTTGATAAGCCTGAGAGATGCTGAAATTGCTAAGTTAGTAAGAGTTAAAGACTCTGAATGGGATCAAGCTTTTATAGCAGAGTGTTAGCAATGCACTCTTGGAGATGCCCAACTATGAGAATGTTATTGTGTGGCCGCAATTAGAGAATAAGGGTTAATTCTCGATGACATTCTTGAGACAGGATCGGGACGCACGGCCGTAAAGCGTCAACCCTATAGATCGTTGCCATTGCCATTAGTGTGTTGCTTTTATCCCACGCCACCACAATCAAGGTTCGAGTTCAAGAACTCTGTTCACTCAGTTCCTGTGGGGGTAAGGGGTAAAAGCTTAGAAGTTGGTTCAAACCGGAAGGTACCATATTCGAAAGCACATTATGTTTTTTCAATTTGAGCCAACAACTATGGATTTGTGGGGGATTGTTGGAAATATGATGAAATAAATAATGGTATAATATATATGAATTGGAAGTGGCTTAATATACATTAAAGAACAACTTACATGTGTGGATCTATTTCATTTAATGACTAGAATCCATAGTTGTAAAGGTTGTAAATGTAATGTATTAGTTTGGTGAATTTATTGTCCAATGTTTAAAATAAATGGTACTTTTATATGATAAGGAATAATATTTAAGTATCATGTAATCATAAAAGCCATTTAAATCTTGGGACAAAAATTCTGAAATGTAATATATAAAATGAAGCCTGCGGACAATATAATTGTTTAAGTGATATTGCTCACTAAGTGTTGATAGGTACGTGCACTTGAATTTAAAATTCAAAATTTAAAAGGTGCTTGGTCACACTTAGTTTATTTGATCCGGTCATCAAGGATCATGGGAGCACTATTATAGGAGTAGTTAGACTTCTGACCAATTAATTTCGGTATATGAATACCTATCTGATTTCCGAAGCAAAAAATAATCCGCTGCATGCTCTCTTTATTTTCACACGTTCACAAGCATTCGGCTCCAACTAGTACTTCACGAACAAAACAAACCAAAAGTCCTCTTGAGTGCTTTGTGATAAAGGACATACATACACCTCCTATTTGATACTCCAGTGACTATTCTTTTTGGGTTACTTGGTCAAGAGCTTTCACTTTCGATTTTGAATCCATAGTTCATCATTTTCTTTTCGGCTCATCTCTTTAAATCGGCAATTGGGCAACGGTCGAGGTGTTTCTGTCAAGCAAGCTAAAGGACCGGAACAGAGGTAGGATTATCCTGGGAGCGAGTTGGCCAGTCCCGTTCGAGTAGCTATCGAGATACGGGGGCTATCTTTCTTCAAGGCCAGTCCGGTTAACGGACGATGTTACGCTAAGTCTTCTTTTCTCTACTTTTTATTTTAATATTTAATTTCTAATTATTGTTTCTATTTTATTTGTTCTTGCATTTGGTGGTTTGTCTGGTGATTTGTGATTAAACTCGGGATTTTATCTGACTAAACTCGCCATTTAAATACTATTTTTCTAACAAAAAATACACGTTTGGCAACACAAATGAACTATTGATTGAAAAGTGTAAATTAAAAGTGGAAAATAATAAAAATACCCAAACTTTGAAAGGATGTGAGGTAAACACCCCAAACTTGCATATGTAATTTAAATACTCCAAACTTTACATAAAAAGTTATTTTCACACCATTGTCATGTATTATTTCTTTCAAAAATGTAATTTTATGGAGTTAATTGCATAATTCAAAATAGCAAATTAAAAATGTTGCAATTATATGGATTGGGGGGTAATATTATTTATTTCTCAATGGAAGTTAGAATGTTAATTGTGTATTCAAGAATTCTAAAATATTTTAAAATTTGCAATTAACACCATAAGTTTACATTTTTGAAAGAAATAATATTTGACTATGATGTTAAAATAACTTTTTATATAAAG